AACGATTTGGATCCCTCGTTTATATATAGCGGATGTGCCTCCCTTGATGGGGCCTGCATAAATCCGGAGTACTCGGCATCGGTGCCAGCTGGATCCCTCTTAGGAGTCCTAACAGTTCTGCCCGAAAGAATTCAGGCAGTGGATCTTGACACCATAAACTCGCCGATTCGCTATAGTTTCGCCAGTGGAATGCCTGGAAACTATGCTGATTACTTTCAGATTGATGAGAACACGGGGGTGCTGAAGCAAACGAAAGCCATAGATACTTCGACGGCGAAAAAGTATGATATCATAGTGAAAGCAGAAGAGGTTTCCCCGGGACCCCAACGTTTCACAACGGCCAAACTGGAAATTTTCGTAAAGCCAGTCGATGCCAATCCCCCCGTGATATCATCCTCACAAACGGAGGGCTATGTGGATGAGAACTCACCGATAGGAACTAGGGTCTTGGACTCGAATGGTAATCCTATATCGTTCAAAACCACAGATGCCGACCTGAGTGACACCGATCCGAAGCCAGATTATATATACGAACTGACCACCCCATCGTTCAATGTAACCGCCGATGGTATTTTGATAGTGAATGAGGATAACCTCGATCGCGACCCTCCGGCGCCAGGACGTTTCAAGTTTCAAGTGGTGGCCCGGGAACCGAGAACCAATGCGGCCAGTGCTCCACTGAGTCTCACGGTCCATCTGCGAGATGTGAACGACAATGCCCCCAAGCTGGCGATGGTGCCGCCGATCTCCATAACAGCCGGGGATCAGAGCGAAAGTCGACTGGTCACCCAGGTCATGGCCACCGACAACGATGAGGGCCCCAATGCCGTGGTGACCTACTCCATTTACCATGTCTCCAACAACGGTATTCAAAAGTTCACCATCAACGAGAAGACCGGTGAGATCCGAACCCAAGGTCGTCTGTTGGCGGGTGAGCAATATAGCATTACGGTCCAAGCCACCGATATCGGAGGACTGTCGTCCCAGGCGATTGTGGAGGTTAGTGTGACCCCGGGACCCAACACGAAGCCCCCGCGATTCCAGAAACCCATCTACGAGGTTCAGGTCAGCGAGGGTGCTGAGATCAACTCCACGGTTACAGTGGTTCATGCCGAGGATCCGGAAAACGATGCTGTTGTCTACTCCATAATGTCCGGCAACGACCTACGGCAATTTGCGGTGGGCCAAGAGAGTGGGGTGATCATAGTGATAAGGAAGCTAGATCGTGAGAGCTTGACTCGCTACCAACTGATCCTGAAAGCAGAGGATACTGGAGGACTCTCTAGTAGTGCCACTGTGAATATAAAAGTAACGGACATCAATGATAAGAACCCGGAATTCGATGCCTCCACATTACCCTATATCTTCCAAGTGGAGGAGGGTAAATCGCAGGCTTCTGTGGGAGTGGTCCATGCCACTGATGCTGATGAAGGTATCAATGCGGAGATTACCTATTCCATTCCTACTGATATACCATTTACCATAAATGCCACTTCCGGGGAGATCCTAACGGCCAAGGAACTGGACTATGAGCAGCTGAATGAGTACAAGTTTGTGGTCACGGCTAAAGATGGAGCTCCTGATGCTCGTCTGGGAACAGCTAGTGTTACTGTGATGGTATTGGATCTTCCGGATGAGGTGCCCAAGTTCAGCGATGCCCGCATTGATGTACACATTCCGGAGAATGAGGAAAACTACCTGGTGGCCACTGTGCAAGCTTTTGATCCGGATACGGTGCCGGAGATTACCTATGTATTAAGGAAAGGGGACGCAGAACTCTTCAAGGTATCGGGTAAAACCGGTGAAGTGAGGACCCTCAAGGGATTGGATTATGAGAGCCAGAAACAGCACCAACTGATCATTGGTACCATAGAGAATGATGGCGATGGTCCAGGGGATACGGTTCTCTTGGTGGTAGATGTGGAGGATCGCAATGATTTGCCACCGAGGTTCATAACCGTTCCCGATCCCGTGACCGTAAATGATGACCAGAGCATTGGAACCATCATAGCCACTCTTCCAGCTATCGATGGAGATGGCACTTCGCCGGGAAATGTCGTTCGCTACGAGATCGTGGGGCGTGGCAAGGCCCCCAAGTACTTCCAAGTGGATCCCGACACGGGGGCTGTACGGATAAGAGATGAACTGCGCAAAGAGGAAGATACGGAGTACCAGGTGGATATAAGAGCATATGACCTGGGGGAACCCCAACTAAGTTCGGTGGCCCCTCTTCGTGTAGATGTACATCACCTTCTGGCCAACGGCAATAATGAAATCAAATTGGACAATAAGTTGGAAAGTGGGATGGGTATGAGTAGTGAAAGTATAGGCCTGGCCTTCAGTGATGATAGCTACACAACCAGTGTGCCAGAGTCAATGGAAACGAATAGCAGTCTGAAACTCATTCAAATAGTGAATTCAAAGGTTTCCACTGATGGACCACCGGCCTTTAAGTGTGAGTTTGTCCAGGGCAACGAAGAGGGCATCTTCAACTTGACTTCTGCAGATCATGGTTGTAACCTATTTCTCATCCAACCCTTGGATTTTGAGAACAAAACCTCTTTTACCCTGAAATTGCGCCTGACATCGCATCGCTACTTTGTCAATCCGCTGAAAGACACCACCACTGTGGAGATAATAGTTCAAGATGAGAACGATAATGCCCCCGAGTTTGAGTTTAATAGACTGCGTGGTCAGCAAGACACTTTCTACACGGTGGTCACCGAGGAAATGGATGTTGACACAACCATTTTGCAGGTGCGTGCCACAGATCGTGATTCGGGTAAATTCGGAACCGTTCGATACGCTCTCTACGATGATGATGAAAACCGTGTTAATATGGTAAGAAATCGATATATTACCATACCTTATAGTTTTTATTACCTTATAATTGATATTTCCAGCCCACGAGCTTCTTCATGATGTCCGAAGATACTGGAGTTCTGAGAACAGCCAAGCATTTTAAAAATGAAAACGACTTTCCCCTCACATTTTTGGTGGAGGCCCGTGATAGCGATGCTCAGGAGCAGGGATCCCATCGCACGAGGGCCCGTATAGTCGTTAATAAGCTGGCGGATATAAATCGTATGGCCTTATCCTTCCCGAATGCAGCACCCAGCGATCTTCGCAACTACTATACTGAGCTGGAGGAACTGCTGGACAAGAAGACCGGACTAGTCAGCGGTATTGAGCGCATGAGCAGTCAAAAGTATCTGGCCAAGAACGGATCGGTGATTGAGAATCCGGCTGCCACGGATATATGGTTCTATCTCATCGATCCCAAGACAGAGCAGCTGGTGAGCCGTAAGGATAGCATTGTGGAGACCACTTTACTGGAACCAGCTGCAAGATCTGAGCTAAATATCGCCTTACCAAGGGCCACCGCCGAAAGTATTTCATTTCCCCTGGAAAGAAAAGAACAGGTTCATAAGGTGGGTTTTACTTCTTGTGATAAATATTTTTTAGGGTTATATTCATTTTATATATGTTATTTTTCCAGGTCAAAGCCGCTGTAGCCATCGATAACGAAGTCTTTCCCTTTACTCTTATTGCCATATCACTTGTTATACTTATTCTGGGAACCATTGGCATTATTTACATATGCATTTCTTGGTCAAAGTAAGTAAATGTAATCCAATGTTTACTGTATAATAACTTATAATTTCATTTTAATAGATACAAAAACTTCAAGCAACGCATGCGTCAGTATTCCTCCACGAATCCAACCCGATATGATCCCGTGATCGTAAACCAACAGGCCTCGAATGCCAGTGAAACGATAGCCAACATGAAGGAGTACGAAACCCAGATGCTCGCCATGGCAGTGCCTCCGGATGTAGATGACGATCTGCAGCTGGACTTCAGTGCCAAGAACCATGCCTTCTCGCTGGACAATGTCAGCTATATAACGCACAAGGAGAACACCAATGGAGGTGGCCAGTCGAGTCCATCCCACTCGGATGCCACGACGGCCACGATTGCTACTCTGCGCCGCCACAAGAATCTCAACAATGCCAATATGAACAACAATCTGGCCATCAACAACAGGCAGAACACCTTCAATCGAACCCTGGAGATGAACACTCGGAACAATGCCAATCCCCTGGGATCTCCACCGCCAAATGGTGCCCTTTCGGGGACCTTGACTTTGGGTCGCATCAAACACCAGAATAGCAATCATTACCAGAACGGCGCCTACAACATAGACCCAACTGGTCCGAACAACATGGCCAATGCCAAGAATAATGCCTACAGTACGATGGGAAGGCGGGGAAACACCTTCTGCGACGTGGGATTGCTCAATGGCAATGGCGAACTGATGAATGCCACATTGGGTCGCAATGGCCAGCTCAACAATCGACTCTACGGTGGAGAAGTGCCCATCACCAACCCACTGTTTCAAAGGTATATGTCTATAAGTTCCTAGGTGTACAAATACTACAATAATGATATATATCTTACAGATCCAGCTCCGATCACAATCACTTAAGCAGCACAAACGAGAACGTGTCCTTTGGCAAAAGGGACTATGGTCAAATAGGCTTCTCATATCTAAACGACTTGGATAGATCGGAGGTTGAGACCACCACGGAACTGTAGGGTATATTGATTAAGAAAACTGGTTTCAACATATAACAGACTTTGTTGATATATTTAGCTGCCAATTTATATTTTTAATAGTGCATTTTAACAACGAGAGCGGTTGCCATCCAATTATGATCATAGCATATGCAATCTGTAAATATTTTAGTAGCAATACTGAATGGAGGAACTGATAACTGATATATTTAACTGTGCTTTAAGATCAAATAATTACAGTCATTACTTTTAAGACAAAAAGAGTGCATATTTTATATTTTTTAAGAATCCGCAAATGCTAGGCATTTTCATCAAGGAATGTGAATTGTTGAATGTATATGTACATGCATGAATATAATCAAATTATTAAGTTGTATAAATTATGAAAAGCAAATAAATGTAAATAAATCCGAGAAAGCAGATATTATTTCGATAAACTAAGGAAGTGACTATTTATTAGGGATCCCTTTCCTCAAAGAAAGGAAATTTGGCGATGTACAAAAACCAATTGACAATTTCCGATAGAAGAGTTACATCTAGGATTTTTTTGTTTGATATAAATTGATTTATGATTGCAACAGTAAACATATATTCTACAAAGGTTTAAGAAGTAGTACTAGTTGGCTTTTGTATCGACTCTACAGGTTTAATGTCGTCTTTGTGGTCTTCGTCATGAGCTGTGGTGACGTTGAGAACTTGGTTCGTGAACAGATTATCTGAGGGGTCCTCCTTTTCCGTTTTTATAATGGTACCCACGCCCGCAGACACGGTCTCATCTTCTTCGGTCTCCGACTCGCATTTCTGTGGATTAAAGTGTTTATCAGCAATGAGAAGCAGTGCTACATTTAGCTCTAATATGGTTAGGATTGTGGGTTATTACATTTACAACGCTATCGAACTAGTTCATAAGGGCATCAAACCAGGGCATTTGCTCAATGCCCTCGAGCAATCTCAACACCTCGTTAACATTGCTATCCGCCTCGCCGATTTCAAAGTTAAGTTCGCTATTGTCTTGCACCGATGAGGATTCTTCTAAATCTAAATGACGTTCGATAAGATTGTCTTGAGCCTGAGTTTCAGCGTGGTCAACGGAATCGTTGGACCCTCCATCGCCTTCCTCCTCGAGACCTAAGTCTAAATGGGCATCGTCCACACTGCCATCGTCAATGGCTAAGCCCAGGTCAACACTGTCCATGTCTAGAAACATGGAGCACTCGTCGTCGAGGGAATTGGCCAGGTCATCAGCCGTGTCGAGGTCAAACTCGAATAAACCACTTGCAAAATCCAAGAGATCATCACCCTCAGCTTGCATTTCATTATGTGGATCTTCTCCGACAAAATTATCGACACCACGGCCTTCTGCGAAAATACTTTCTTCCGACGGAGTGCTTGAAACTTCATAAAACTGGAGGATGAGAGGTCGGCAATTTATTCAGGGTCGATCACAAAAGGCTTAAAAGCAGTACAGTACTAGCACTTATATACATGTGTTTCGTGTTTGTTTCTCAGTAGATAGTAGATAGTATATATACGCTTAGCTTTACTACAAATCAAGTCTAAATACTAGTTACGCAGTATTGTTTGTTACAAACTGTTTAACAGTTCGATTACTGTTGTTTCGGCAGTTATGTGCAACACAACTTATGGCAATGAGTGAAGAGGCAGTTGGAATATTTAAGTAGTAACGTGTGGTGGTTATGGCGTGGGTTAGGTTTAGTTTTTGATCAACGCACCTTTTGTATATACTGGCGCTTGGCCGGCGCCACGGTCAGATGCAGTACGCAACTGGAGTCTTCGAGAATGCTGGCCACCGGCTCCTGGCAGACCACCCCACTGCGTTCCACTCCGCATGCCCGGAACAGCACCTGGCGCTTATCCTCCAGGATGTGCTTGCGGCAGTGCTTGCAGCAGGGTAGTGTTCGCTCTCCGCACTTGACCCCGCCCTCGGTAAAGACGCACTTGGGGTTGCTCGACTTGGACGCATACAAGGTGTCCCGGGCGCGCTTCTCCTTTAGTTTCTTGTACAGCACTGCCTCCATGCCCTGACGACGATGGTAGCTGTTCAGCGCCTTTAGCTGTTCGTACAGTTTACGCTCGTGTGGCGTTTCCTTTAGCTGATCGTGGATGCTGCCTGAAAGTAGGGTATTAAATATGTTTTCTCTCAAACTTGAAGAATTTTCAAACATACAGTATAGTTCCCGCTCACGGCGTATTTCGTGCAGATACTTGCGACGCCGCTGCTTCAGGATGTGCTGCAGATGCGAAATCTGCTCGCGATAGAGCCCCTGCAGCTTAATCAGCTTGGTCTCGGCAATCCTAACTGCCTCGGCGCGCGTATAGACGCCAGCGTGCCTGCAAAAAATTTGGGTTATTAGTTGTTTCCTAGGATAGGTTGTGTAGTCCTTCTTTCTAGCTTTTCACTTCTTTAGAAACGACTGACTTATTTAAAGAGTGAAAACCATCTTACTTTAGCGGATCATCATCTTCAGAGTCAATGCTTTCATAGTCCGATTCGTAGAACTCGATATCCTGTGCGGTGTTTCGCAGACATGGCGGATCATCATCGTTGCTGGAACTGTCAGAAGCATAGTCCAGAATGCGACGCCGCTTGCGAGAGCTTTCCACAACGTGTCCTATGGAATTGCGGTGATCTTGGGTGACTAAAAGGGGGAAAAGTTGTCATGGAGTTTGAAGATGAGAGAGACTACTTTGAGACCTACCAAATGGTGTGACATGCGGCGACACCACATCGATTTCATCATCGTCCGGCTCGGTCTTTGGTATCTCTGGCTTGATGTCCTCCACATTGATGTGCGACGAGAGGCTGTGGAGCAGGGTCTCGTTGGTCTCACCCGGCTGCGAATACGACCCACATTCAGGTGAGTCTTCTGCAGCTGCGTCTGACGGTTGTGCTCGAAGCAGAGAGTCGTCAGGATCTGCTCCTTCTTGTTGTCGTACTTGGGCACCGCATTGATGCACTTCCTCCCGTTCGAGTAGACGTGCGAGCACTGGCGGTAGTTGGAGCGCGGATCGCGCAGGATGTGTCGGATGCAGTAGTCGTAGCCCTCGATCCGCATCAAACTGCATTCGTAGGTGGGATTGGCGCAGTACTTGATCTTGGCCAGCTCGCTGTGGATCTGCTCCCGCAGCTGCTGCTCCTTGTCCGGTGTGCAAGGTGTGCCGGTAAAGCGGGCGCACTGGCGCAGCTGGTTCGGCGAAAAGCTGGACATCTTGCTGCTAGTTTAGTTTTTTTTAATTCAGGGTTTTCTCTTAATTTTCTGAGGCGAAACAAAAAAATGCGAAGCCTGCTTTGTGTGACCGTAGCACAAAAACTGTAAAATACCAAACGCATGTTCTGGCTACGAGGTGGGAAACTTTGCCAGCAGGCCAGCATGGTTTTAAACCATTAATTGGACTCCCTAAAGGAGTTTATTATTTTTATTTTTAGTTCTATTTTATATTTAGTAATTTGTTGCAATAGCCTTCTTGATTTGTATTATATCACTGTTATAACCAAGACAGAAAATAATCATTATGATTATTATTAAATTCAAACAATTCTCTTTATTGGTATTTTAAAGAAATTCAATGGCAGAATTCATTTTGTCATATAAAACATATTTAGCTTTGTAAACTTCGCAGCCGTTGCAAACTACTGTCCTCGAATCTTGCCACTGCTAAGATTCTTGAAATTATTCCTTATAATTAGACCTGTCCTCAGGTTTAATATTGAACATGGCTTTGGCCTGAGGCTTTTCCCTCCCAGTCCAAAATTTCACATTTCTGTTAGGAGAAACGTCGAAATTTACTAGAGTGTGGGATGTCGTCTTCATGTCTCCAGGTCTTTATCTCTTCGTTATCCACTGGCAAGTCGTCTGTCTCGGCAAAAAGGACCTTAACCTTCGCCATTCGAATGCCGTAGCGAACCTTGTAGTCGGCGGCTTCTAGTTGCGGAAGACAGCGCCGGTTTATGAGGAACACGAACGACTGACTTGCCTTCATGTCCTCCTCTGCATTAACAATGCTCCAGTCCGACATGTCTATATCGAGATTCTGGGCTCTCAGGCAGCTCAAGATCCGGCTGTGATCCCTTTGACCCTTAGGCAACCAGATGCGGGCACGCGGCCTCCAGGGAATCTCACTGGCGTGGACGAGCCTGATGCGTAGGCCATCCCAGGTGTCGGCAATCGTGGCTACACACTCCGCCAGGAAGATCTTGGAGAAGCCGTCGTCGCATCTGATCACCCGGTGGCCTCGGATCACGTCGGACGAGTCAAAGGACGGAATGGGACCATCTGGCACGGCCATCAGTCTGTCCGTGACCATGTTTGCAAGCCTGGTCTCGATCTCCTCCCACTTTTGGTTGAGCAGCTGTCCGTCCTCGTGCAGCTCGTCCACCAAAGCCATCACCAGATTGTCCTTGGCCACCTCATCGGTCTTTCTAGCTTTGGTCCGACCTGGACGCTTTGATCTTTTGCGCGGCGGACTACCGTTCTTGACCACCGAGCTTTTTGGCATAGGTTTCGTGGACTGGATAGCCTGCATATTTTTCCCTTTCCACTGCTCGAATTCCATCAACACCGCCTGGTATCGAGCTTTGTCCTGCGCATCCTTGGGATGCGTCCTGCCTTCCGCCTCGTTTTTGGCAATCCTGCCGAGAACGAAGCGAGCCAGACTCAACCTGGCCTTTCGTATCTTATAGGGGTTTTTTTTATTCGTCTTTTGCTTGGTTGCCTGAGGAACTTCTTCTTTGTGATCCGGGAAATCGTCCTGCGGGGAAAAGGACCCCTTGTCATCAAATGGGGATTCGGACTTCATTCTACGACGCCATAGAGAACTATCCAGATCTTGGGGAATCAAGTGGGCAAGTAAGTAAAGGGAAGCCAAGGATCATCCACTTACCATATCATCATCGATTATTATCGTGTCGGTGTCCTGATCAGCCTTGATTTTCTCCCAGGAGCAGACAGTGCGCTCCATTTTTGGCCAATAACTAGACATTTCGGCGTTCAATTGTCTTCAGGAGCACAATAATAAACATTTACCACAATGCTCTCAAATCAAAGGAACTTCCTAAAAAATACCAAAAGGTAAGTGTCTATGATAAAAAGTTTGCGCGGTTTCAAACCATAGATGTGGGTTAGAAATATTTCAATTCATTTTCTGAACTCTTAAATATTTAAAATATATTTAAATATGTATTTATCCTACAACGTTTTATTGGGCTTAATAGAACACAAATGTCTAGACGACGATAAAATGGAGATAGAATTTACAACAATAATATCAACATGTTTTGATGATAAGCTGAGACTTCGTACACAATGAATAAAGCTTGTTTTATGTTTGGACAAGGGTAGCCATAAGAAATAAGAACTAGCCATTATTTAAGATAAAGTGCACACTGTGTTCTTAATTTAAATACGTACTGTATATATGTGGCATGTTTTTAGATAAAGCTAATGAGTATGGATGGGATGGATGGGAAATTCCAAAGACCCGAACAATTTTTGAATTCCTGCTGATATGGATTTGTGTATATGTTATATAAATGCATAGAAGAATATAGATTTATTTTAAATTACTTTTATTAGTTATGACCTAAGCACCAACACGTGTGAGTATAAAAACAAAAGCAGTAAAATAAATGTTTGGTCTTATTTCTGTTTATGATGTTGTTGTTATCCTCCTGTCACATCCCATCGTCTGATCCTCCTCTATAATCGGCTGAGCCTCCTCTATCTGGTTCTTTTCGTCCATCTGGTGGCTTTGCTTCAAACGATCCTCCTCTGTTTCCTCTGACTGTTCCTTTCTAGCAGCAGAGCGAGTGTACTGGCCAATGCGTATTCCACCACCTCCACACAGGGCCACTCTCCCAGGTTTTCAAGCCATCAGGAACCAGAAACTTCGGCCTATTTCCCTTCCGCTTAGTGAGATCTAATTCCTTTATTTTCTCTATCGCAGTGTCTGAGAACTGAGCTCCTCGAGGTACTATCCAGCCAAAAGCGTTAACCTCCGTCTCCGTCGCCTGTGGAATCTTTTCCTCCTGGTTCTTCCCATCCGTAATTTCTGAAACAAACGTCTGATCCTCCTCTATAATCGGCTGAGCCTCCTCTATCTGGTTCTTTTCGTCCATCTGGTGGCTTTGCTTCAAACGATCCTCCTCTGTTTCCTCTGACTTTTCTTTCTAACAGCAGAGCGAGTGTACTGGCCAATGCGTATTCCACCCTCCACACAGGGCCACTCTCCAGGTTTTCAAGCCATCAAAAACCAGAAACTTCGGCCGATTTCCCTTCCGCTTAGTGCGATCGAATTCCTTTATTTTCTCTATCGCAGTGTCTGAGAACTGAGCTCCTTGAGGTACTATCCAGCCAAAAGCGTTTACCTCCGTCTCCGTCGCCTGTGGAATCTTTTCCTCCTGGTTCTTCCCATTTGTAATTTCTGAAAAAAATGTCTGATCCTCCTCTATAATCTGCTGAGCCTCCTCTATCTGGTTCTTTTCGTATATAAGGTGGCTTTGCTTCAAATGATTCTCCTCTGTTTCCTCTGACTGTTCCTTTCTAACCGCAGGTCGAGTGTACTGGCTAATGCGTATTCCACCAGCTCCACACAGGGTCACTCTCCAGGTTTTCAAGCCATCAGGAACCAGAAACTTCGGCCGATTTCCCTTCCGCTTAGTGAGATCGAATTCCTTTATTTTCTGGATCGCAGTGTCTGAGAACTGAGCTCCTCGAGGTACTATCCAGCCAAAAGCGTTTACCTCCGTCTCCTTCGCCTGTGGAATCTTATCTTCCTGGCTCATCCCATCCGTATTATCTGAAATAAACGTCCGATCCTCCTCTATAATCTGCTGAGCTTCCTCTATCTGGTTCCTTTCTCCATCTGGTGGCTTTGCTTCAAATGATCCTCCTCTGTTTCCTCTGGCTGTTCCTTTCTAACCGCAGGCCGAGTGTAGTGGCCAATGCGTATTCCACCACCTCCACACAGGGTCACTCTCCAGGTTTTCAAGCCATCAGGAACCAGAAACTTCTGCCGATTTCGCTTCCGCTTAGTGAGATCGAGTTCCTTTATTTTCTGGATCGCAGTGTCTGAGAGCTGAGCTCCCCGCCGGTACTATCCAACCGAAAGAGTTTTTCTCCGTCTGCTCCATATCCTCGGTAGATGAGGTAATCCGTTGATCCTGCCCTGCTGCCAGGGCGGCCTCACAAGGTATCTCGCTAGCGTGGACAAGCCTGATGGGTAGGCCGTGCCATGCTTTTCTAATTTTGGCTACACAATCCTCCAGGAAGATCTTTGAGTAACCGTCGTCGCACCTGATCACTCGGTGGCCTCGGATAACGTAAGACCAATCGAACGACGGGTTTGGGCCCTGTGGCACGACTGGAGACGTTTGGCACCATATCCGCCAACCTGGCCTCGATCTCGTCCCATCTTTCGCGGAGCAGGCAACCGTCATCGTGGAGCTCGTCCACCAGAGCCATTGTCAGGTTATCCTGGATCAACTCGGTATACTTCCAAGTCGAAATGGACTGAAAGGCATCTGACACGTTGAACCGCTTGGCGCCCATGACTCGAATCTTTTCGCTTCGGATGCCCATGGAGGGTTCTATTTGGGGATCTCGACTGGGGCATGATTGCATCCATGCTTTGCCTCGAGACCTGTGGGAATTCTGACTGCGTACGGCGACTCCACAGTGTGCTCTCAGATCTTGGGAAGCTGAAAAAAACAAACTTAGTGGGAGGGATTTAAAGCCATAACCGACTTACCAGCATCATCGGATCCGAAGCTTGAGTTTTCCCAAGAGCAGGATGTCCCAGTCAAGCTCTGTCCTCCGGGAATACCTGGGCATGGCTCACATTTAAAGTTTTTCATACTTTTACGAAAACACTTTCCAGAATAGTGTGCCCGCAGCGAAAAAGTTAAAATATCCCAAAATAAAATATCCAAGAGTAAACCTTCTGATATTTTGATCGTTTTAGCAAATAAATACAATAATATGAATTGTCTTCTATAAAATAAAAATAATATGAATTGTCTTCTATGAAATTGAAGTCTTGACTGCATTTTATGATCGGTTGTTCAACAAAACCAAAACCGATTTCAATAAACAACTTTGAATTCTTAGTTCTATACTGCTTACTACAACATTTGAATTTAGCTCCAGAGGAGAAAACTTAAACGATTGAAAGGTTCCCAGTAACCAATTGTTATAACAAATTATTTAAATTTATTATTCAGAGAAAACGTAGAAACAAATATTTTTATACTTTTACTTATCTTTAGAAAACTAAAATAGTCCAAAATGTTGTAAAAGCCAGACTTCAAATAATATAATAAATACAAAAAGTAAATGAGAACGCATTCTTGCAATTTTGACAACCTTCCTCTTTTCTTAAAGTTGGTAAAAAATTCTTTTACATATTTCCCCGTTGGAAATACCAAATTCCCCCGCACAGTAAATGCACAGATGTATGTTTAAAGTATAATCGTACCTAAGTGTAATTTATCATATTGCCCGCCTTATCTTCCCTACAAATACAAGCCGTAATAATCGTCAGTTGGCTATTGTCCACCACGTTCATGTCGAGGAGCAGCTTCTTGGTCTGCAGGTCGATGAGCCGCCGCTTGGCCCTGGCCAGCTCGGCCATCTCGTTGTAGTATATCGTTTCCGCCTTGAGCTTCTCGTCCAGCTGGGTGGTGGACTCCGCCAGCGAGGCGTTGTCCGGCGGCATCATGTTTGCATGTCCGCTGGTTCCGTCTCCTCGCACCGGTCCACCACCACGGAGTTGTCCGAGTTGTCCACCACGTACTCGTAGAAGGGTTCCTGCAGCGAATCGAAGTGACCTTAAAACCAGAGATCGGATTGGTATGCAAAAGAAGGTGGAGTGGGTAAGGAGCACAACCTCTTCGTCCAGGTGATCGGCCACCTTCTCAATGATGCTGTCCACATCGTCAAAGTTGACTTTCTCAGGGGATCAGCCGCCGTTTGCCGGCGCTCCAGGCCGCTGAAGGAGTTGGCCTCCTTTTTGGGCGTCATAAGGTGCTGGTGAGAGTGATTCAGGCTTTTGGCCAGATTGTTGTGGCGCCGCACAATATGTCGCATTAGATTGGAGGAAGAATGCTTCGAGGACAGGGTTTTACCGCAGTGCATGCACTTGGCCATGAACTCGGAGATGCGGATGAAGTGGGCCCACAGCTTGTTGTTCTTCCCAATCACCTTGTTGCGCATCTCGGCAGCCTCCTGGCTGTGCCGCTCCATCTGCTCCTGCTCCCGATCGCGCTTTACTCCCATGATGCCGCGCACAGCCGACTTGGTTTCGCCCTCGCCCTCGGCGAGCTCCATGCTAAGGTCCTCGGAGGCCTCCAGCTCGTCCTTGAGCTCCGCCAGCATCTTGCCCTCCTCGCCGGCGAAAATGGTGCGGGCCAAGAGCTTGTGTTCCGGATTAAGTGGCGCGTCAGGTTGGAGGAGGTGTGTTTGGAGGACAGTGTTTTGTCGCAGTGCTTGCACTGTACTATGTACTCGGTCAGGCGGTGAAAGTGCGCTAGAGCCTTGAAGTTTTTCCCAACCATCATCAGCAAATCCGGGGATCGGGTTGCGCCAGCTCCTGGCCAATTTGTTTGTAGATTGCAATTGACGCGTTTATTTATCAAATTGCTATTATTTTCGCTGCAAAAAGTACAGTGTATTTCGGGGTGTGACCGTTTGCGGGAAGTCAGTCTGCCAAGTTAACAGTTTGCCTGATTGGTCATATTTCTTTTTGTGATAAGATTGAGGGTACCTTTGCACTGTTAAATTGTTACGCTAACATACTTTTAATACAAATGTATCGCGACTAAATAAAAAAACTTAATTCTATTTTTGTAAGCATGTGAATATAAATAAAGAAAACCATTTTTAATTTTAATTTCTGATTTTCCCAATTCCAGAGTTGCCATATGTTCAAAAACTGTACTTTGCGTGAACCAGCTGATCGAAAGTCTATTGTTTAACAAGAGTATAGAAAATATTTGAATAAAAAGTCTTTAAAAAATCCTAATTAATTATTTAAATAAAATTTACTTCGAAATAACTATTTATTTGAATTTATTTAACAGCACTCAGTGTGCTGTTGGGCGCGCCTTAACAGCGCAGCGCTGCCAGACCGCGGCAAACGTCAAAAAGATAACCCTACTTTTTTGACACGAGGTGCTGTGCGTGTCTTTTCCTTTCTTTCTCGCTTTTTACTCGAACATGGGTAAGTCGACTCTCGCAAAATGCGTCGAAATATCAAGAAAATGGGCTGAAATTGGCCTGCGAACATGATGAGAGTGCGCACAAAGTACGTTTACAACGGCATCGAGCGAAACGCAACGCGAAATATGTGAATTAAAAGAAATACGAGTGATTAACTTGGTGCCCGTGCAATGCGGCTGCTTTCAGTGCTCCTCCAACGTGCGCCCATGTTCTTGGTATTTTCGGTTGGTTTTCGAGTGCCTTGACTACTTTACTAATCTGATATTATTTTTCCTAATACCAGGTATTAGCCGCGATAGTGCACACAAACGCCGGGCCACCGGAGGCAAGCGCAAGTCGCTCCGCAAGAAGCGCAAGTTCGAGTTGGGCCGCCCCGCCGCCAACACCAAGGTAAAGATAATCCCCGGTAGTCCCTATAAGGTGGTTCCGATACCGAGCTCCAGTTTCTCATACTCCGGATAAGGGTTAACGGTCGATGGGGAAAGTACACCTAGGAGCCCAACACATTTTCAGTGGTTTTATCATAACTCAAGTAACCAACCGACAACTCGACCATGTGGGTCGATTTCTTGTATATCATAATAATCATTTGGAAGGTATTATACCTTGAATATAACATGAAACCCTTTGATCACATGGCTAAAATAGTTATACTTAACCTCTATTAATGTTTGCAATATCATATCTTTTTTTTTATTTACAAAAAGTGATTCAATAATGAATATACCATCCCAGTTTTGTTAAATTATGGTTCAACTTTAAATTATATCTCTCTTGAATCTAATTTATTTATCTTGTTACTGTTATCCCTGACCATTAACTTAAAATTGGAATCCCAAGACTCAAGAGTTCCAACAAGTATGAGAAAACCGGTGCAAGGCTTACCTTAGAATACAAAATGATGTTAACGCGTGTCAACTGCAATTGTGCTCTCGAGCACTCTTCTTGATGATTGAAAAGCATTATGTTCGGACTACTGATTGTAAAGCATAAACCTAGAATGTATTCCCCCAAAGAAGGCCAAATTAACCCAAAACTCTTCCCTTTCAGCTTGGCTCCAGCCGCGTGCACAAGGTGCGCACCCGTGGTGGAAACACCAAGCTCCGTGCTCTCCGCTTGGAGAACGGAAACTTCGCCTGGGCCTCCGAGGGAGTGGCGCGCAAGACCCGTATCGCCGATGTGGTCTACAACGCCTCCAACAACGAGCTGGTGCGCACCAAGACCCTGGTGAAGAACAGCATCGTGGTGATCGATGCCACGCCCTTCCGTCAGTGGTACGAGGCCCACTACGTCCTGCCCCTGGGACGCAAGCGTAACCCCAAGCACGCCCAGAAGGAAGACGAAAACGACGTGCTGACCAAGAAGCGCAGCGAAAAGGTCATGAAGAAGTACTGGAGCGCCAGAAGTACGGCAAGGTCGAGCAGGCCCTCGAGGATCAGTTCACCTCCGGCCGTATCTTGGGTGTGTATTTGCTTTGTTTACGACAAAAGCTTTTTAAAGTGATGTAAAAACCCTAGCGATCCAACTAATTTATTGCATCGATCTTGTTTTAAGAGAGATGCAAGCCTGTTGGGTGTGATTCGGCTTGTCATAGTTACTCTGATTTCATTACTTTAAAATCTTTTTGCCCTTTTGTGCGTTGCCCTGTCTAATTCTTTACCCTTTTCCTTTCCAGCTTGCATTTCTTCCCGCCCCGGACAGTGCGGTCGCTCCGACGGCTACATTTTGGAAGGCAAGGAGTTGGAATTCTACCTTAAGAAGATCAAGTCTAAGAAATAAAAGCACTAGATAAGCTTGCAGACGCGATCTGCAAAGAAAAACAGAATAAAACAACTTGTTTTTTATAGGAAGTGCATTTGTCTGATTTTTTCTTTCAATTTGCCTGGTGTATAAAAATACGTATGGCATCCAAAATATGGTGTTCCTTCAAGTAAACACAGTTAGTGGATAGTGGAGAGCCAACGACTCTCCCTTAAATGTCTATTGAATTTCGTTTCATAAGTATGATACAGTAATACGTTATCATTAACAATAGTTTAAATATCATTCATATTGGCTATAATTACATAACGCAGGCAGGATTGTGGTTAATCCCATAAAGTACAACAAATTCATGTAAATTTGAAACTGCCAACTACAATCTTAGCGCGCACTAAAACTGTTTTTCTGGTTAAATTTTTCATCTTATACTGCTGTCATCTAAAGTTCCTAATGTTCGAATAGCATGGTCATCACGGCCATTAACGCAATGCCAAATATCAGTGCTAGCAGCTGCTTAACGGACTCCATTCGCTCCTCCTCCTTCAAGAGATCAGGTAATACTGTGACCAGAGCAATGTGCAAAAAGCCGCCGGCAGTGAACGGCATAATCCACGAAGTACGTGCCTCTGTAAATGTAAAGATAAGATCAGTTTTTGTGTCACCTGGCAAGCCCCTTTAAGCTTACCCATGGCCGACGTTACGCCGGAGCCGCCGATGGCCACCAGAGCGCCGAGGAGGCCAGCTCCCGCCGTCAGAAGCTGCGCACGCGCGGCATCCCAGCGACTGAAGCCGGATCGAAGCAGGATGGCGAAGTCCCCACCTCGTGCGGAATTTCATGTACTGTAAGGAGGGATATAAATGAGATTCTGTCCACTGGCAACGTAGATTCTGAAGTACTCACACAATATGGCAAACGTGGCCAGGATTCCATGCCTGAAGGAGACCAAAAAGGATCCAGCCACGGCCAGACCATGTGTGAAATTATCAATTGAGTTGGCCAAGAGGTTCAGATACCCAGCCACCTTCCTGGGCTGATCCTTCTTCTCCTTCGACTTCAGTTCCCGTTCGCGGAGGAAACAAACTTTATCCACGTCCTCGATGTCGCAGGCGCCTCCACAACTCTCGGAGGTCTCGCCCTCTGGCAATTGTCCTCCATGTCGTCGCAACAGGCAGTTGGCTATCTCCACGCACTTGGGCTGCGGATTCTCCTCGTCTGCGCTGGCATATCCGGAAAATATTTTCTCCACAATTGTGAAGATGAGTATGCCGGAAAGGACCCAAAGACCCGACCGCAGCGATGGATGACTAGAGGGATCTGTGGAAGATATAGTATTTATAGAGATTAATTTATTATTGAGGTTTGCCTTGGAACTCACCTTGATTATCGCCTTCCCAGGCTTCTGGCAGTAAGTGAAGGAATACATCGCCCAGAAGACCACCGACTGCGAAGCTCAGGAGCACTCGCAGGAGTTTTGATTCGCAGCTGGAGGTCGGGAAATCAGCAAAGTTTGCAGTTAAAATATATATTCTTCTTTAGAAGCGGTCAACTTACGATCTTTGTATCCCTCTTTAGCCATTTTCTCCTCCGTGGGAATGATGATCAGTGGGAATATGCCACTCAACCCGATGACCACCGATCCCAGCAGAGAGAAAACCCATGGTGTGTACTCGAAGCTCTTGAAGTACTCAGGCACGTAGTTATCCATCATGTTGGAGTATATCATGGCGAAGTGTTCATCGAAGAAACTGCTGTGGTTGGTCATTTTAGGCTGCCTTACTGCTGCTGTGAATGAGCTGTTTTGTGCTGGAACTAAGGATATATTCTTCAGTCACTACCGCCTGTTCATGTCCAATGACTTTCGAAGGAATATGTGCGGTGTACGATGGTCTTGAGTCAACTGAAAGTCGAAATTTGATTTTTACTGTTTAAGAAATTGTCAATCACACGTTAATTTTGATTCAAATATGAAGTTTGGCAAATATTTTCCCTAAATCCGCCACCTGGCAACAAAATCATTGAATAACTAGATGCGTTTCTCAGTATCAGACACACGGTGATGGGAAAATCTTTTAGATATGGACAATGTCAGCCATAATCAATATATGGGCAGTGATAAGCAGGTCTCTGTAAAATTTAAGTACAGCGACTTATGTGTGACTAGAAGGAACAGCAGTCAATCAAACTAATACCATTGCCCGATAATTAGCTCGGCAGGATGAGTAATCGAGTCCTGCCCCACTATAACCAATAAAATATTACTTAATTAATTGCAAAAGTAAATTTCCATATCAATGCAATCCTACGGACTTATCTTTAGTACAGGGTTTTATGAGGTTTTTCGAATTGGATGGCACAATTAGTATACAGCTTGTTGGGAATCTAAAAGATATTATATTAATAAGATTACTGTACTCGATTCGTTTTTTAATAACGAAAACTACTGAAGACTGATAAAAACGTTTTACAATGCGTTTCAAATTCCTGGATTTTAAGTTTAATATAGTAAAGCAATTTACAAAAAATATATACTTTTTAAAAGATCATCCAATTAAAGAACCTAATGATAAATTTAACTTGTAAATCACCCTTATAAAGACCATAAACTACACTTATGTATATCACTCCTACCAGCCAAAATAGACCGTAAACTAAGCGAAAAATAATAATTTCAGAAAGGCCAACTCGATAACCGTCGTTTTCAATGTGCACAAACAGACTAAATAAATTTCAGAAGACGCTGGGCTCGAAACGCCCACGTCAAGATACTTCGTTTCCATTTGATTTCCGATTTGATGTGCACGATGCAGCTTAAACTGTTCACTTTTCCAGCGATAAGATTACGATGGCGCTGGTACAATGGAGTGGTACGATTTCGGCGGCTTTGTTAAACGGCAATACTACACATGGGTATTGGGGAATCGGAATCGGTAACTGGGAATAGGAATCGGATCAGATTCAGAGGAATATGTTGCTGCCATATCTCAAAACTGCGACTATACTTAAGTTCAAATCTACATTCTTTAGCAGTAGCGATGCGAAAGACGAACCCGTGAGCGAAGGAACTACTATAACTATGGCTGACTCTTATCTTTCGCAGTCATTGTCATTGAACTATCACAAAACAAATTATTTAGATTAGATTTAGACACCGTGTAATTACCTAAAAAAAAGCGGGGAATATCTATATATTCTATAACTGAGAAGCTGTAGAAAGAGTGTCTATCAAATCTTTAATTTTAGTTCAATTGACATTATCTAAGCTCGTTTTGATCCATGACCATTTCAATTTAAACTGTGTAATTGTAAATACGCCACTTAAAGATTCCCTTGGTAGAATTCCATAAAATACGATAGCAAAGAAAATCTTGTTGTTCGAACTCATCCGGTTTATAAGGCTTTATTTAAAGTAGTCAAAATTCGTTAATAGGAAGCCACTCAAGTTTGTTTGTATACATGCGTCGACCACTTGAATAAATACTCCAATTTTAGCACAATAAATGAGGAATATTTATTTAGCTGTTGGACTTAATTATTGTGTTTTTCGGACGAGCCTTCAATGAAAAGACTGTCTAGATTTCCGCCAATCCTGTATGTATTAATCCAAAATTCGCAGATCATTATATGCGAATCTAAAAGAGACAAATTAAGTAGCACAATTTTCTTTATACATAGAACTCGTGGACAATAGATTCTTCTGCGCTTCAAAGCTGATTTGTGCCGTGTGGGTATCTGTATTTCAACTGTAACTATCACACACTTGACTGTTGCTAATGCGGAAATTTATGCTCCAAGCTCCACAATCGTGTCTTATCGCGCCGGTAACTCAGCTCGTTATGGGGGAAGAATCAGCTTTACCAGCCGTTCATATAGAAGAATTGAATTGAGAGTGTAATTAGGGGGTTCCAAAGCTATCTATGTTATACATTTGTATAAAATATTGCACTTTAAAGAGTTGCTGACTCGTAAATAGCTTCTGAATCATTGTTGTCGCCTCTAGGGCCGTAATTTTTCAGTGGATCATCAAAATGGCCGAGATTATTTTGCACCCTGCACTAAAATGAGAAATGGCGGAGTGAACAAGCTTTGATTACCAATCAAAACGTGCGGAAACGATTTAAGTGAGAAACTTGTCCTTGGGGGAGATAAGGTCAATATATCAGCCGAATATATAAAGAAATCATGTACATATTATTACATGTCCTAAACAAAGAATTAAAAGGTCGGAAAACAAACATTGGTACTTTCCCGGTTATTATTAAGATACAGCTCTGGGATACTCGTCATTGTTATAGATAGATTTGTCATTCTGTAAACCACCTCTTTGTTTTGATCTGGGTGACATGTACTGAAAATAATTTCTGAAAATCACAAGGGTACGCCTCAAAGAGAATCAAAACCCTTCGATTCTCCACAAAAATTAATAAACAAGATTGAAGCCGCGAAACCAGTTTGCAAAACAAGTTATCATTGTATATTTTATTGTTGTTCAACAAAGTCTAGTCGATTTGTTTTTATATACATATGTACATACCGCTGATAAAGAGCAATACACGCATAATATTATAGTGTTCAGAGCACGGATTTCAGATTAGATTGAGCACTGTTGAAAATTTATCAAATATGGCCGCTATTAGTGACGTGTGGGTGATAATCTTACACTAGGTTAGTTATGCCGTTATGCATGCTTGAAGATCAATGCGGAAGTTGATAGTTTGACTGAATAAATGGTATTTTCTCTTGGTTTGTTGTTATTGTCCATTAACCACATGATAAATTAAAGGAAAGAAACAAAAAAGGCCTCTCATTGTACATATGTATAGTATTTTTCACATTTGTATGTACAATTGTACATTTAACTGATAAGCATTCCGTTTACAAAGTTTATATTTGAGTAATTTAGAACTTAACTATATTATAGATATGTTTTAAATCGATTCGGTTAATGTTCAACTCAAGGCAGAAATGTCACATAATCAGAAAGTCAATGTAGCACTAGTGATTTCCATAATTTTCCAGACTTTGATTGCTTTAAAACTCGATTCTTGTGAAATCGGTTCGGATTATTATGCAGTTATTTTTACCGTATTTTGGTTTGCCACAGGTTAACGTGCTCTTATCAATTTTATGGTGGCGAATAAAACCAAAACTTTCGGTTTTGTTTCAATGGGCTTTTGTGCGGTGGCCGAAATTGTTTGGTAAATTACTTTTCTATTGCGTAGTAGCGATCATTGGCACCCGTTTTGTTTTTACTCCGCAGTTACGGCTCGGATTCACTTTTATTTCGCCTGGGCTCTGCCGAAAGTTAAATATACACTTGGCCCCGCGGAATTCGAATTCACGGGCTTTGTTTGCGATGTGGTCGCCCCGCGCGTCGCTTGCTAAAAGTTACAAGCTCGCCAAAAACACATGCATTTATACATTTGTTTATACATTTCGAGGGCCGTGCGGAAAATTGCATTTGGGATGGCAAAACATAAGTAAGATATCGCGCTATCGATATTTATCAGGAAATATCGTTTGGTTTAGCACAGATCCTAACCAAGGTAGATGACTCTGTTAAAGGGGGTATTCCTAAAAAAGAAACTTCGTTTTAATATAATTACTTAAAAACCATTCAATAAAAAAGTTTTCATTTTAATTTAATATATTTCACTAACTTTAGATTACAAGAAACTTTATTTTTATTTTGGTTAGTATATTGACAGATAATCAAAGTATCAGGACCAATTAGCAAGTGACTCCGTGTCACGACAACGAATCACGACCATCTGCCCACCTCTAGTCAATCGATTGCTCATGAATCACACTCGATGCAATCGAAAACAATTGCATCTTTGACACCACTAGTATTTACGCATATCAAGCGTAAAAACTCAATTAACAGTTGATTAGGCCCTAAATTAACAGTGAGACTATGTTTATCCACACGCGGGCGATGGCAAAATGCTAAGTGCAGTGCCTTCAGCGCTAGTGCGGCAGCGAGTGACGTCACATCAGTAGATAGCAACAGCAGCAGCAACAACAACAAAAGGCAGTGGGGCGCCGCAGCAACAAAAGGGAATCAATAACAAAAAAAACAGAGAAAAGCGTAATTTCGTGGACAATTTGCATACGAATTGGGTGGTTAGGTAATAGCGATAGGATAGCCATCACGAATCGCACAAATCACAGATCAGAAATCGGAAATCACGAGATGAGTAAGCTGGAAACGGATTCGGACAGTTCAGAGGAGTTTTTCGATGCCGAGGACACTACGCCCAATCGCCATTCGACTTTGTGGTGGGTATTCAACGGGTAACCTTGGAGATCTTTAACTAACCCAGCCATTTCCGCCATTTCAGTCGGAAGCTGCCGCCCGAGGTGGCCCAGGAGTTCATCTTTCCCGATCCCGCCGTGCGTGTGAACGCGGCCGCCTCCTCCGACAGCGATGCTACGCCCATTGGCGCTGGAACGCCCGCCACCCGGAGTCCCACCAACAGCCTGGGTGCCCGGCTGAAGCAGCAGGATGCCGGGGTTTCGTCGAGCCCAAACCCGTGCTCGGATCTGTAAGTGCAAGGGGTCCAAGTGGAGTGCTCTCCGTTACCCCCTACGTTTTGCTAGACCCAGTCAATGATGTCATCGGCCAGGGCAACGATCCATCATCGGTGGCCTTGGGAAACCATTTTCATATGTGCGAAAGCCCTCCTTCAGCTCACATGTCTGGTGTTATGATTTGTAGAGTGTTTTTATGAGATTCGCATTCATTTTCAAAATTACAAAGTAGGAGAAACTGAACTTTGTTCGCTAAGGTATATATGTAGGTAGTCACTTCATTTTATCTCCATTAATAGACCAGTAATTAGCTAATTTACCATGGTATGAACTCGTAAACCAAATTTCGTTTAGAAATGCATTATTATCCATTTTATTTCCCTTTCCACTATATATTTCCATACCACCCAGTTTTAGACAACTGCCCCTGGTTACTATCAGAGTCATCTGCCATAAAATGTTCAATTGCTCTATTTACCTGAAAAATGATTAAAAATCGATATGATATGGTTTATAGTTACCCAGCCTTTATTTGCAAAAGCATAGTCACTTCAAGGTATAAAGATAAAGCTAGGTTTTTATATTTAGCATTTAGACATATCTCACGTTTTCCACTCGAGTAAAAAGTGTCTTCATAATTATTTACACTTTATAGTTTCGTAAACCTAGGCATAATCACACTTATATTTATTACAATTTGGTGATTTATATTTTTCGAAATTTTAGTAGAAACATATTTAAATGCCAAACACCTCTATCTACTGAATAATAGCCAAATCACCCCCTTAATTTTGTGTCCATATTTGTGTTCTTTACTTTCATATTTTCTCCGCCTCATTTCGTAAATCCAACGAATAAAAAACCAAACCCAACTCGAAAAAAATGGAAAAACAACCTTAACTCGAATCTCGACCAATGTTAAATATGCATACTTTAAAAAATGACATAAATATCGCATATAGTCGGGTAGACAGCGATTTCACGAACTACGTCAGTGCATGCAAAACGATGAAGATGACAATCCAGGAAATACACTCACACCTGATTCTCAGGTATACATTTTGTAATCTAGCGTGTTTGCTCAGCTTTTCGTGTTGCCACTGGTCTCCCAAGTGTACTTATGACTTTAATTCAAATTACAGAACAGCTCAACGGATGGCATTTTCACCAACCGTTCGACGCATCCGTTTAAGGTCATTGAGACCGATGCGATGAGCATACAGAGCATGACATCACTGGGTCGCGTGGGCCGAATTTGGCGGGCAGCATTGATCCGTCTGGTGAGTTAAAATCGGTTTTTTCAAGAAACAAAGCAGCCACTGACACTCTTGCTTTATTTGCTCCCAGCTATTAGCATAGATCGCGAGTCGCTGGCCTCGCTAAATGCGCAGCAGCAGAAGCAACAGGCGCAGCAGCAACAGCAGACGCTGCCTGCGTCCTCCACCAACTCCACCACTCCGCCGAGCACTGGAAACACCTCCTCTGGGATGAGCACGCCCAGGGTGTCGCCCAAGCATCAGCCAGTGGTCACGAGGCAGCGGCCACCACGACAGGGATTCCTCCTAGTGCAGTATCCTCCCTGCAATCCTCAACTGCTGGCGCCATAATGCTGCAGGAACCGGATGTGATAGCAAGCACTAAGCTTGCCCAGTCCAAAACCACTGATTCCATCACCTCGTCTGGACCCGTGGCACCGCCGCGAAGAAAGAAGAAGTCTCGGAATTGCTCCATCAGTTCCTCGGATCAGTACAGTTTGCCGCCGGCGGACAACGAAGATACCGATAGTGATACCCGATCTGTGAAGAGTGTGCAGGGTCTTCAGCAGAAGTTGCGGGAGTTTGAGAGCTCCCTAAATGATGCAACTTCTTCAGCCTCCAATAACACATTGACCTGCTCCTCCACCAATACAATCGTCTCGGCTTCGGCCTCGACCACGGCGGCATCTTCCTCCATGCCTTCGACAAGTGCAATTCACATGCGTCCCATGGCCTCTTCGGTCTCGATTGCTGGCCCAAACCAACGCAATCTCTGGGCAGCAGTTCGACATCGGTTCACTCCAAGCCAAGTCCATCGAACTCGGCGAAAAGTAACTCGGCGCCAGGAAGGGTTAGGTAATTAAACGGCAACTGGTTGACTTGGCTATAGGTTTTTGACATGACGAACTATCTCCTGCAGTTCCATCGATCCCAATCAGGGTCTGAACCTATTCAAGGCAATTCAGGGAGGTTATGTGGTTAAACCACGCGATGAGGCTAGCAACAAGGCACAGGGTCCGTCCCAAGATGAAATCGAGCGCATTGAGAAAATGCTCATGGAGAGTGCGAACAGACCAAAGCTGGCGGGAACTGGATCCAACAGCTTGGGAAGCTCCACACGGTGAGTACTCTGTGCTTTATTTACTTTATTTTGTTTAACACTAATTCTATACAATTAGCTATCCCGGATTCTATCGTGGCGTCAACGACAAGGAGCGCCGCAAGTCCGCCGGCGACGAGGATGTGCTTAAGCAGATGAACATCTACGTGCGCACGCGAACCAGCTCAGGCAAGCAGCTAACCGACTTTGAGATCCTTGAACAAGTTCCTGTTAAAAATTTAGACACGGGCGAGAATATGCCGCTTTCCGAAATGCGTTCACCACCAGTGCCTGAGGGATGGAATCCGCTCTCGCTGCACATCCTAAAGCTGACCTCCCATCTGGAGGTGATCCAGAAGGAGTCCGACGAGGAGAGTGTGATTGGCATTCCGCCAAGCCTAGAGGGCCAGCAGCCCGACGAGGAGGAGCTCGAGACGGAAGATGGTAGTCGGCTGAAAAAGAAGACGGCGCGGATTAAACGCTTCTTCGGCACTACCATGCGGAAGACGGTGGACAAGGCCAAGTCGATTGCGTCCGAGGTGTCGCATGCGCGCACAAGGAGGATGTGGCCGATATTGTTGATGCGATGAATCCCGAGCAAAATATCAAAATCAAGGCCTCGTCGTCCAACAAGGGCCCGTACGAGTTCACCAAACTGCAGCACGTCCAGGATTTGAGTGGGGAAGACACAAGTGCTGTGTGGTGCATGAAGTTCAGCTCATGCGGACGACTGCTGGCCACTGCTGGGCAGGACAAGGTGTTGAGGATTTGGGTACTCAAGGATGCCTATCCGTTTTTCAGGTAAAAAGTCCAGTCCGCTTAATTATACATATTTGTAATACGCCCATCATCTCATTAAAGGACATGCGCAACAAATACAACGCTGACCAAAAATCCTCGCCCACGCCCTCGCAAGAGTCTCTCGTCTCGCAGCATTCGGCAGAGGAAGCCATTGCCATGGCCACCGCCGCCGAGAAGTGTACGGGTCCCTTCATGCCGAAACCTTTCTGCACCTACAATGGACACACCTCCGACCTGCTGGACGTCAGCTGGTCAAAGAATTACTTCATACTGTCGAGCAGCATGGACAAGACTGTGCGGCTCTGGCACATTTCCAGAAAGGAGTGCCTTTGCTGTTTTCAGCACATCGATTTTGTCACCGCTATTGCGTTCCATCCACGCGATGATCGCTACTTTCTGAGTGGCAGTCTCGATGGCAAGCTAAGGTTGTGGAATATACCCGACAAGAAGGTGGCTCTCTGGAATGAGGTGGATGGCCAGGCGAAGCTTATAACGGCTGCCAACTTCTGCCAAAACGGACAGTTCGCTGTGGTGGGAACGTACGACGGCCGTTGCATATTTTATAATACGGATCAGCTCAAGTACCACACGCAGATTCATGTGCGCTCCACCAGGGGTAAAAATCGCATTGGCCGCAAGATCAGTGGCATTGAACCGATGCCCGGGGAGGACAAGATCCTGGTCACCTCCAACGACAGCAGAGTCCGCCTTTACGATTTGCGGGACCTGAACTTGTCCTGTAAGTACAAGGGCTATTTGAATGTGTCCTCGCAAATCAAGG